ATTGTGCTTAGTGCTCTCGCTCGTATTGTGTGTGCGCTCGGTTTGATGCAGACCCAAAGATGAAAGCTCTCAATGTGGATGTAATGTGTGGACCCTTGGAATTTCTACTCAATCCCTGTGCGTTCCTTGTATTCCAGCCTCATATTCACTTCAACTTACGAACAGCTAGAACAGGCTTACACCAACTAATCACATTGTCTTATGTTTGGTAACGATTATGAAGTTCATTAGTGAACTAGACGGTGATTTTACTTTCTTTGGTTCCGTTGAATGCGTTACTGCTCAAATTTAAATGCTCGAGCAGCTAAGAAGTATCAAGTATCAGATTACGTTGGGAGTGATGATTATAATTCACATATTATCAAATATGTTTATTCATCCAAGAGCCTTATCGGATGACGTCGCTCTCTCAGATACCAGTCCACAATCTTTATTGGGCCTCACTTGGACTTTGGATTCATACCTTCCATTCAGTAGTCTTGAATAAATTGGTCTAGGACGCCTGGAAAAGGTATGCAGCCATTGTGAGGACAGCGTGGATTGGTCTGGCTCCATCCCTACAGACATAGTAGAGCAGGAAGCATGAAAGTTGATTATGTAATGGGGCGTGTATGCACGTTGATGACATCTACAAACAGATGATGTCTGAGAGCATCAACACTGTGGTTGTTAGATGACTGGGTCTCCTCTGTTTATCCGTTTTGGAATGCAAGTCTATGTTTATGTTGAAAAATGTTTTTCCTGTCAGAGATTTTAAGGTCGCCATGCACTGCTTCTATAATTGAGAACACAAAAGATGCACATAAATCGAAACTCCTCATCCGATATCTGTATTACGATAGAGCTTTCTGAAATCCACTCAGCTCTCAATGGAGACGACGTTTGCTCTTTCCCAGCCTCAAGCTACTCGCAACGACTGATAACAAGTTACCACCACGATGACTACCAGGGATTCGAGTTTTGCTTAAAGGTGGTTGTACCAATTTATCGCAACTTAAAATCTCATCTACAGTATATCAGACAGGACTATGCCAGCGTAGAAGCATTTACAATGCGCTGTATTTCGAAACACGATTCCCACTACGCTCTCTGTCATCCTCACGGCAGGGAGGGATGGAGTGCCCTCCTATGAAATTCTCATCCCTGCCCCTCCCTAATCTGCCTAATGTCCATGTGCTGAATGTACGGAGATTACTATATGTCCACCACGTCAGCAAAGACGAAACTCGGAGTCGCTGGACGGCCGCAGCTATTCGTAGAGGAAGTCTAGTAAGGAAGCTGACCGTCAACGTTTCACTGGGGGTCGTTGAATTTTACTAGATTTCAGAGGATATTCTACCGTAAACGGTGTTCATCAAATTGCCAAAATCTTCCGTATTGCGGTTGATTCACCAGTTACCTTCTTGTCGTACTGTTTCTAATCAGTATTCTAAACAGTTACAAGTCGGGTTAGATTGTGGTTCAAACTTCGTCTTTGTCATTCCACCTCGTAAATCGGCATTACCACAACTGGAATGTCGTCTCAGTGCTGTCGAATTTGTCATCGTTTTCAAATAGTTCAAAGGTTCCGTTTGTGCATTACAGGCCTTGGGCGGTAGTCTGCTTAAATATGTACACTATAATTTCAGGAGATTATCTGTAGTCAAGAGTGTTAGGCTAACTGAGGTGAGAATTACCGCAGTTACTTGGAAGTAACACTCATTTACAAGGTAGTAAGTAGCTCATTGATTACTATTTTCATCTATCCTATCCTGTCATGCACTAATGACATCCTTCCCCAGTATGTCATATGTCATCCCATTCCTATACTTTATTATGTCCAGTATCTATCTTATAATTTGTTAAACCTGGTTCGATGACAGAGTCTCGTCTGCAATAGAGTCTGCCACAGTCTCAGTTGATCCTCGGACCAAGTAAAACTGAAAGTCCTCTGAAATTGCTAGTCCCTTCCCGAAAAACGAGTTGAAGATATTGTAAAATCGTATTTTGACCAGGCTCTTGCTCGCTTGCCTATGGAGGCACGGAGCTTGCATGGTACAATTATATCATAAATTGATGATATTTTTATATCCGGGATGGTTTTCGTTTCTGATTGATTCGTTTCTCCTATTTCGAAGCATTATCATTCCCCTTGCGACAAGTCGTTGGCATTTTAGGCCCTAAAATCACCTCCTTGAATATTCTCTGTACCCTCTCCACACAGTCACAACCTATTTTCTTACCACCACACTTGGGTCCCATATAAAACTACGAGGAACACTAAGCTCTTAGATAAAATTTTTCCAAGACTCAAATACACTAGGTGTGCTTTTTTATACCCATTTAGCAATGAATCTAGAGCTTGTGACATATTGTATTCTCTTTTCCACGCAAAATGTCAAATTATAATCATTAGTGAAATCAATATCTAGATATTTATAACTCTTCTCTTCTGTTATGTATCTATTCAAATCGTGGTGTTGTTACTTAAAACGTGAAATGAAATGTTCAATAATTTACTTTTGACAAATGTATTTATATTTATAACTTTTCAAGAATTGAATCGTGTATGAACTTGCATAATCTTCTTGTAATGCATCTTGGCCGTGTTATCTTTTGAACACTTAACTGCAATCTGCAGTAACATTATGGAAAAAAAAAACTTCAGAACGAAGATTGTGAGCCGAGTATCTCTTGTAAAGCAACAAAATTTTAATACAACTTTTAAGTCAACTTGAACAAACGTGTTTCTATTGTATATGTGATTCTTAACTTCTTTGATTTCATTTCAGTAACCATCAACACTAAGCTTGTATTGAAAATCTCATGATGATTGAAAAACCTAATTTGCTACATCTTAAATCAAATTGCTCGATTATCAGATGTATATCACAATGAATTTCAAACTACAAAGCATTATTTTATCTTTCATTATGTTACATACCGTGCCATTGCATCATCTTCTCACTGAATTGAATTGAAAGATCATTCTTTTTCTCTACTAACAAGATATTATATAGATGAAACATCTTGTTGGTACTTGTAATTCCAATATTTTATATTTTGAATTACGTGTTTTTTTTCTTTGCTAAAGGAATTGGTTGCAAAATGTATCTGTTTTTTATATTTTTCATACTACTAGTATTATAGAAGAATTTAGAGAATTGGAAATAACTATCTAAGTATTAAATATGGAAATTTGTTGGCAATATTAAAAATAAAACCTAAAAAAAATGATTAATCATTCGAACGTAGTTGGAAAAAAGATTTCCATTTCATAAGGTTTGAAAAGGATGGATTTAAAGAATTTCAGTTCAGTCAGTTTAGTGTGAATCGCAACGCATAAGGACCACAGCTTCTTACTTTGCTACAAGGATGCGCGTCAGATAATCTGCCTCCTGCGCCATTCTCGGATCTTTTTGCTTTACAACGAGCGAGCAGCTTCCCATGCAGCGAGCTACAGAGGCAACTGACATCGCAGAAACTGAATCGGATTCAATTTGCGATCGGCCATTAGCAAATTCTAGATTTCGGATTATGGCTGGGAACGGTAGGAGCACAAAACCAACGGTCAAGGGCCGATCAACTTCAATTCATTTGCTCCAAAAACTGACGACAAAAATATGTTGCTGCCGTTTGGGGTTAGGAGAAACTGAAGCGGTTTGTACTTTCTGATCAAAAAGTTCAAGCCTTCCCCTCCCGAACCTAATTCGTGGACAGTTCTCTAACGGAATCTGAATTGAAGATCACAAGCTTGGAGAAGCAAGTAAAGGAAACTTCCCGGCGACGATTTTCGATTGAGTAACGTTCAATTTAGCGAAAACTCATTCCTATCCGGACTTGGACGAGATCAGCAGAGAACTGAATGAGCAACAAAATCTTCTTACGATTACGACTTCGAGGGAAACTGAACTCGAAGTCTCTGTGAGTGTTGAGAAGGGAAAACGTGATCGAAATATCGTCTTTAGAACCCGAGAGACCCTGAACTGGCGAGTGTTTGACTTTTGATCAGGACAACTCGTTCAAGAAAACCGTCAAGGGCTGTTCTCCGATACAGATGCACGTTAATTCTTGTTGCTCTTCTTGTGAACAGAGTCACTTATAGGAATCTTCTCAAGTCGGTCTCTCCTGATGGTGAGAAATGCTTGAGTTAATCTTGTGAACGAAAAGAATCATCGATTGTAACTGCAAGCCCTAAAATGCTTCGGAACAAAGGTCTGTAGAATGAAAGTAGGAAACAAAATGCCTTTTGATCTAGAAAAGTTATATGTACGCACCAACCGGTGGAACCATCTACCACTCAAGCACTTGTTTCTTTTGGCAAAATTGTTCAGTGATACCTCTTCTCTTGACTAGGTGATTCTTATGGCAAGTATAAGTTGCTCAATGAAATGTCTTATCTTCGTTCTGTTGTTATCTATGTAACTATCCAAGTGCTTTTCCGACCTGTAGTATATTTTCCGCGTCCGATCATATCCTCAAACCTCTCTCTTATCAAGTCTCCCTGTCAAATTGGATGCCCACATCTCAGCCTATCAGTCATGGAATCATCTCAAGCAATTATAGATCACAGACTCATTCCCGCTGCACAAATCCAGCTCGAGCTCTACTCGCTACGTAATCACTTACATGCTCCCATGAGCGTGGGTCCCATCCTCGAGCGTAGTCTGGTGCGCTTCCATCGCCCCCACTAGCGCACCTTCTAATACTACACTACTCTGGACTACGAGCGCACCCTCGTCGCAGGTCCACTGGTTCTCGCAAGCTGCGATAACCCGCGACTCTACGATGAACCTCCGAAATCCGAAATAATTGGCACCAGACAGACTGACGGCTTCGCCAATGAATGCAAGTTACAAGCGTTAACACACACACAAGGACTGAGCTGGACTGAGCTACTGACCTCGGCTAGGCCAGACTGAACTGGACGAGACGTTTTCTTAGAGATTGATTACATGACTTGGGAGTTAAGACAGTGAGCACACCTTGGGATAGTTGCTGAAATTGGTTTGGAGAATGTGCTCGACGTTGCGAGGGTCCACTGTGAACGTGCTTGTCAATTAGATGTTCTTCTCTACAACCCTGATCCGAAGATGAGCTGGGTCGCCGAATCCTTCATCGCTTTTATAAACGAACCTCGGCAAAAAGCTGCAAGTAAGCACGGACGGTTTTAAGAAAACTAAGAAACCTATGAGTGACATCCGTCTGTTAGAATGGCAGACAGAAACATCATGAACTCGTCAGCAGTCAATACACTGTCATGATGAGCATTTTGCTACTGGAGTAGGCATTCCGGTCTCCAAGATTGAATGAGTTGTGTTTTACCTTTTCGTGAAAGATCATCGAAGTATCCTTCCGAGGTGTTTACGGCAGAAATTGGAAAGTTCCATCTGCATCCGCCGATGAAGTTCCCACTTCAGCACAATTTTATAAGCGACGTACATCGTGACAATCAGTGACACGTAGTACTGCAACGTGAGGTCTGGTTCCCAGTCGAGACTCGAGACGGCAACTTCTTCCTTACATTCTGAACAAGCTTGCATCATACGCCGGTGATTTGTGACGTCCATCGAGGATGTAGTACCTTGCTCAAAACTGTTATGACTTTGCTGGAAGTGTAACACGACTAGGAGAACCCTGCCTGTGTGCAAGTTGATGCACTGGGCTTGCAGCACTGCAAGGTGATCTCCTCGACTTGTAGCACAGCTTCCCTCACAGCTCGGGAGGTATCTGGATGGCAAATTCCATCCTGAAGTTTTGTGTCAATCGAGTCGTTGAACCAGAGTCGGTGTCATCGCTGCCGGATTATCTGCCATCGTCGGTCATATGTTTGGTAACGCTTATGAAGTTCGTTAGTGAAATAAACGGTGATTTTACTATCTGGGTTCCGTTGAATGCCTTGGTGCTTATTCCTTGAGAAGCTCCTCATTTGTACAAGAGCATCAGGGGTATATCTGAATCCAAGAGCACAAGCTTGGAGAAGCAAGCCAAGGGTACCTCCCATCGAGGATCTTCAATTGAACAACTAGCGGAAACTCATTCATTTCAGGACTTGGACAAGATCGGCAGAGAACTGAATGAGCAACAAAATCTTCTTACGACTACGACTGTGAGAACAACAGAATTCGAAGTCTATGTGTGTGTTGAGAAGGGATCAAATGTACCTTCTTTAGAACCAGAGAGACGCTGAACTCGACAAGTTAAAGATAAGATGGAATTTTGCACGGCCTTATTAAAATGTGCACTGCTGGCAAAGTGGTAATTTTTTCTATGTGAACAGGAGATCCTGTTTTTAACACGCATTGGATTGTCACTTTGAACCATTCCGATTGCTGTAATCTCTCTGTCTCACTTCAGAAATCGCATTCCCAAGATTCTGAAACGAGAAGCAGGTCTTGCGGGCTAACAGAAGCCAGGAACAAATGTGCGAGTGTTTGACTTTGGATCAGGACAACTCTTTCAAGAAAACCGTCGAGCACTGTTCTCCGACGGCCTTTGAAGGAGAAGAAGAACCAACCTTGTCTTATACAGATAGACGTTTCTTCTTGTTGCTCTTCTTGTGAACAGAGTCACTCATAGGAATCTTCTCAAGTCGGTCTGTCCGCAAATTTGAGCCTAAATCTGACAGATGCCAATCTCATCTTTAGAGAAGGAAATGGCAAATGATGCACAGAAATCTCCAGCACTCTTTTATCCGTGGCTCAAAGCAACTCATAAGTGAGTACAAACTGAAGTCTTTAGACGGGAATTCTTCCTCAACTAGTGTCCATAAAGAGACCATCTTTGGTGAATCTTCTCCTGATGGTGAGAAATGCTTGAGTTGAGCTTGTGAACGAAAAGAATCATCGATTGTAACTGCAAGCCATAAAATGCTTCGAAACAAAGGTCTGTAGAATGAAAGTAGGAGACAAAATGCCTTTTGATCTAGAAAAGTTATATGTACGCACCAACCGGTGGAACCATCTACCACTCAAGCACTTGTCTCTGATTGCAAAATTGTTCAGTGATACCTCTTTTCTTGACAAGGTGAATCTTATGGCAAGTATAAGTTGCTGAATGAAATCTCTCTCTTTCGTTTTGTTGTTATCTATGTAACTATCCAAGTGCTTTTCCGGGCCTGTAGTAAATGACAAAGATCTGGAAGTGAGTCCCATCGCGAGTAGAAGGAGTAGGGTTCATAACATTTATTCATAACAGTAGCAATTCTAGAAATACTAGATAGCCATATTCTGTTTCAAAGTTAGCTGTACCCAGTTCTGAAACCAATTCTCCACCCAGATTATACTTTTTTGTACAAGAGATGGTAAATTTTTATGAATCAAATGTCTATATAGCAATTTGATTTTCATCTTGGATAAACATCTGGTTGTTAACATCGATTCCAGTGTCTCTCTTACAACTAACCGTCAGTGATATACCATCGAGCACTGATGTAGTACTGAATTGACTATAGAGTCGTGAATGTAACATGCTAGTGAAACATCATGGACACTCAGTTGCTTCTACAGGTATCTGTGTAGACTTTGAGCATCATCGACTGGGAAGTTTCATGCAGATGCCTAATATGAAGTTTGTCAATTTGTCTGGTCAACATCCAGAATGTCTTTACCACATGTCAACTGTGTGGGCCGAGCCTCCAGTTATCGGTCGTTTTCTCCTTTGTACGGGTCGTTTTCTTCTTTGTACGGCTTGTAGGGGTCTTCCAACATTTTTTGTTATCCACCTGGCCCACTTACTCCGGAGATGTCAACTCATTCTACTTGCTTTACGAGGAAATCCATGCCTAAAGACCCATTGAAAACTTGGCTGCTGATGATTATCTTAATCTTGATCTCACCTTCGTAAAGCATGATCCACGTCCAAATCGAGCCTGCAGATAAAGAGTATACCAACTAAGGTAGGACATATTGAAGCGTCACCTGCGTGTCCTTTTGCAAGTACGAAGTGTTTGCACGTGCAATGAGCACAGTGCACCTCCAGATTTAACTAGTGGTACTGTACTTTCTGAATGCCAATTCAGAGAGAGGCATAATTGGACATGATCCGTACACGATGTCGACATGGAGCTTAATCTTCGACGCTTATCGACAGATCCCACCCAAAATGTATTACAGACGGATAATAATGATTGAAGTTCATGATCATTGATAGACTCGGCCAATGGCTTAAGCTTAACAAACTGTTGTCATTTCAAGCCTAATATTTAGAGCGCATTAATGATATCGAGTGTACGTAGTTCAAGCAGTTATATGGTCAAGCAGTGGCCATATGATAGTACTATCATATGATGTCCAATGTTGAAGCTTTTGAACCCCCCTCCAAGAATGACAAATGGCTGTTGATGGTAACAGTTCTCACACAATACCAACTTGAAGCTGCATCACTTTGGCCCAATCAGGTATAATTATCATCCTTTTACTGATATCGGTAAAAGATTATCACTTTTTCAAATCCTTATCAGATAAGGAACGAGCTGTACTGTTCTATCTTCCTTCTTCCTTCGGAGTATAGCACGTACCTAAGCTGCAGTACTAATTTTGCATGATCTGAGAAGTAATCAATAATCGTTACGCGTACGTATCAGGGACAATCACATTGCAGTTAGTGAAGCCATTTGCATACACGTTGTCAAGAACAATCATACCTCAATTATTTTACCAAGACTCCAGTCTTTGGCAGTCGGATTCTGGCCAAGACTTGAGTATATAAATGATCTCAACTAAGAAGTTCATCACAGTTTTCTACTCACTTCCTTCTGAAAGTGTGTTGCAGTCAACAACAACATTCCGTGGTGGTGAACGTAGGTGTTTTGAGCACAAAATTGGAACACGAGAGGTTGGAAGATGGATTCCCCAACTGCTGCAGCCTGGACCAAGGCTCTACTTCTTCTCGTAGTTACACTGGTGGCCCAGGCCCAACCAGGTCACTCCGCTTAGTTCTGACTCCCTAAGTATCAATCAACTGGTTACCTAGATAAGACCAAATCTCATGATTGATTGATATGCAGAATACTACTGATGGCATAAGACTTTGAAAGAGTGTCTGAATTCCAATAGATATGTCGATATTTTAGAGTATCTGCAATTATCCTTGACCTCTGTACATCTGGATCTTCACCTAATATCTGACCGCACATTCCGTGGACCTAGTCATGCAGATCAAGAGTTCAGCTATAGTTTCCCACAAAACTGGGGCGGCGACTGCACATATGGCAATTTTCAGTCGCCGATAAACATTCCACGAGCCACTTCGCTAGTGGATACAAGTCTGCCAGTTAATCCAATTACAAACTACACACGTAATGCAGGAAAACTATACAACAATGGCTACAGTCCAGAAATTGTTCCAGAGGTACGTCCGATAATCACGAACTCTTTCTGTCTCAGACGGAACGAAAATTCACATGTTTATTTCAGAGTATTTGTAAAGAAAGACTTTATGCGAGATTATGTTATTCTTACACGTCTCAATCCTGCACATCCTCGAAGCTAACTAAATGCATTTAAATGTTATATATTGTATGTACTGTAACTGTATGTTGGGTATAACTCTACAGCTTCCAGGAGGTTTCGGCACCTTAACGATAGATGGTAAGGTTTACAAGGTGATCAATGTCCACTTTCATCAACCAGCTGAGCATACAATCAACGTCTTCATCAGGTTCCTCCTATTTTTCTCCATCCAACGTATTATTCCAGTTGTAGACCTTGACAAATACGTTGGTATCTTGACATAGATTTGATCTTTTACATACCAGTTCCTGATACTTTTGATACTGTTAGAAGAAGGCTGGCCATGGGGAGCGGGGGAAGGTTTCATGATGACATGCGAATGTATTATACAGGTATGCTTTGGAAATGCATATTCAACATCAAAGCGCCAACGGAGATATAGCCATGCTCGCGGTGTTTTTTACGCAGGGTTCGACCCCTAGCTCATTCTTGGAACAGGTCAGCACCATGCTTCTTATCTTCATTTTTCGTTTATCCTATTCCTAATACTATCTTAATTTCCTGCGATAAAGCTTCGAAGAACGCTCACAGAATGTTTTACTTTTACTCTCCAACTTGCATTTTCGCTAGTTGGGGGGATTCTTTCCAGATAAGACTGACTGAAATCAAACATTTAACTCTTCGTATTCAACTCCCATTATGTCCGTCTGACAGTTCCTGGACCTTCTGCCGGAGATTTCTGAATCTGGCTCGACACCGATTGCAGTCAACCTGAAGCTGGATAAACCAGTGGGCAAGTATGCTCGTTATACTGGATCCTTGAGCACGCCACCTTGCACTGAGGGCGTGAAGTGGATTGTCATGCTTGACCCTGTACGTTATTCCTCAGCACCTCCAGCCTCTCTCTTTGAGCTCATTTTTTCAAGAGCTTGGTTGAGCAGACATTCTGTTGTTTTGAACTCTCTGGCAGTGGTTTTCTCCCGTACTAATCACTAGCGATTTTGAAATAAATAATCTTTCCGACTACATCCCGAGCTACACAAGAGATTCTGTACATCGTCAGAGACTTTCAGTCCAATTCAAGTTCTCGGAGTATGTTTTGAGACTTACAAATGTGGTAGGACATGTTTCAACTCGGAAGACTGTCATGACAATTTTCATATTCCTGACTTTGGTGCAGATCACGATGACCAGGAATCAGTTAGACCGATACAGGGCCAGCTTCCCCGTAAGTATATGCAATGAATTTTATGCTAGAGCTTGTTCTGATCAAATTGTAACATAGGCAAATGCATATAAACCGTTTATTTCATCAGTTCATAATTATTTTCAATATTTTGTGCAAGAAAACTCATCAACGGCATAGCTCCCTCCTGTTTGAATAACTCGCAAGGCCAAATGCTAAGCATTAGGG